ATGGACTTTTTTGCCGTATGAGTATACGTTGCCTAGGGTGCACCACATGGAGGTAAGTCTATCGCACACCGCTGACTTGCTAATATAACCTCTCTTTTCAAGTCTCGTTCTAATTGTAATTTCAACCATTTTTAGCAATTACCTTATCAGAACATAAGAATTAAAGCATTTGGCTTTTCGATTTAAGTATCACGTTATTTGCTTTGTGTACTTCCATTGTCTTTAGATCTCATTTAATTGCTCAAATCCGGAACAAATTCATTTTCAAAATATTTCGATTTTCTAATAACCGAATTGGTAGTCTGGTGGTAGTCAAAACGAATTTAATCACTAAATGATGCAAGTGAAATACGAACAGCATTTATAATAATAATTAATTTTATTTAATTAAAAGATAGTCAGAATGAACATTAGAGAGCAGTATTCAAAAAAGAATACATATTAAAAATTTGAGATACAGCTCAAAAGGCAGTTGTAAATACTTTTATCCGGTAATTTATAATTGTTCCCAACAATTTACTTCGTTTAATTTTTTCGAAATATGTCTTCTGATGATGTTTTCATGCTGGAACTCACAGTTGATCCCTATGAAAATGAATTCCTGTTTGAATATTTGCAGTCTAAATACAGAGAAGCAAAAGCTAATTATAAAAACTCGAGGATGAATTCAGATTGTCTAGAAAGATATAAAGAGGCGTTAAAGGAATTTAAGGAATACCTTGAGGGCAAAAAACAGCACATCAAGTCGAAATTCAAAGTCGCCTCGCTTGGAAGGCTACCCTCGACAGAAGTGCCGACTAGTAGGCGCGAGAGCGTTGTCCATCATGAGGAGATCCATAACCCAGGGAGTAGTGCTGTTGGTGAGAAAAGGAAGTGTCCCAACGACACAGCAGACTACATTTACATTCACTTGTCCTCTCCGCCAGCCAAACGAATTCGTAAATACAAAAGTCCTTGCAAAAGTTCTGGAAAGGATAGTGAGCTCGATGATGGCTAATGAAAAGTGGTCACTTTCATCTTGCTTTACGTTGTATGGATTCAATAAATTGCTTTTAATTAATGCCCAAACAGCGCCTATTTCGTGTCATTCCCTCGGAGTGAAAGCCGTTATAATTGTCGGGTATAAATTATCGATTTTTTTCTGAGGAAAATCTAGTTAAGTATTTCTTTTTTAATTACATATTTGTTAAAATGTACCAAATCATACGAATGTTACTAAAAAAATTTGAGTGAATTACAGATTATTGCTTAATCTCGTGTCACTATTGAGTTCACACTTAGTGAGATGGCTTTACTGTCTAAATAAAACTTTTGAGCTCTTATCTAAAATTCTGTTAACCAGAGAAATTCCCTCCTGCCGACGAAAAAAACCCACTGTAATCACCGTATCCAATCATGCTGAAATGAAAGTGAGTAAATGATACACAAGAAATAACTCAGCTCATTAAAATTTACCACGATAGTTTATCACCATGTTATTCAAAAGTGCTTTTTCATTTGTTTTTTTCATTGTAAAAATACTAAACTCGTGTTTAAACTTTGTGTATATTTGCAAAATTTTAATTGACACCATGAAATCTATTTTGGGGTACAGCATGCCTTCACAATCCTGAGATTAGCAACTGTTTGACAAGCAGGGTTTGACATTTGGAGCTAGCATGACCACGAATGAAACCAATCAATAAGGGCATAGTGTGTGAGACGCGCACACGATTAGGGTAGTCTAGAACGGTAATTCATGTACCAGGTATTGAATTATGACAGGTGTTTTAAAAAGTTGGTAAAGAAAATAACTTGACCTTTTGATGTGGTTCAGTTCATTTAATATAAAATTGCAAAATTTAGGATAGTTTTCATTAGCCCCTTAAGTTAATTTCGGGCTTAACAGAGGGGTGGGAAAACAAAAGAGTGGCTCACAGATGTTAAAGTGACTGGCACAAAGGCAGAGAAAAGGTAAGGTGGGTACTATGGAAGTGTGCAAAGGTGACATACAGTCGAGTCATGATTGTTTGAAGTCAACTGTCGATTTATGCACATTTTTGCTGTATGAGTATACGTTGATCAGGGGGCACCAAGGGGAGGGAGGGGTCTATCGCCCACCCAGGAGAGGTTCAACTTGCTCACAACATTTACTACTTACTAGGACTTTCCATCTTTTACCCCTTCCAGTGATAAAATTATTAATTAGTTATCAGACTTATCATCTGCCTTTGAATTAAAGCCTTTTAAGTTATTATTCCTGTTAATGTTACTCGGTTTCTTCGTGTGTAATAATTTTTTTGTGCCTTTGTCGTAACTCAAGTCTCACTACTCAACTACTTTCAAGTTCACTCTCACCATCGACTAATGGAAAGCTTTTAAAACCTCCTTTCATAATGCTTAGAACTCTATACAGGTGACTTCGATACCAATTCACCTTCGTAACCTCCTATCCACTCTTCAATCATTCAATGTTACTTTAATAGTACAGGCAAAGAATATTGCAAAAAATTTGGACTTTTCTTAGTAAGACCATAAACCGAGGATAGGGGTATCAATGTCTTCATTTCGAAGGCTGGTTTAACTCCATTTTATTTAACCTGGTTTGTTTCAGTTTGAGTAGAACAAAAAACTTAGGGGTACTTCAATTTGGTAAGCTCGGAGGTGGGGGGATAGATCGATACCATTTAAGACAATTGGTAATTTGGTGGCTGAGAGAATAAAGCCATTTGACTATTTATTTTACGTCAAAACGGGCAGTGGAGTAATTTGTGAGTGATAAAGGCGATAGTCAAGGCGAAGAGCATAAAATTACCTGGAATTAGTAACTGGATTGCAGTGTGGCTTGAAGACGGTAATTCACAAGCCCTCAGTACGTACTGAGCGACTAATTGGAATTAGTTGACAAATGAGCATCTAATCACAATCTCCTCATTGAGAAAACAAAAATTTTCTGGAGAAATCGGTCTTAAAACTCTTGTGTTGAATTTAATTGCTAGTGTCATCGGCTTCAAGAGACTCTCTTAAGTGGTTAATTACTTTGTAATTAATTTATCTTGTGACCTTATATTCCGCTTAAAATGAGCTTAGACATTTATTTATTTCAAATGGCAGGCGTTATGATAGGTATCATTAGCCCTTTAGTTGACTTCGGGCTTCACAGAAAGGAAGATGAACATCCAACTGGTAAAAAGTGGAGAGGGGGACAGAATAATGATTCACAGACGTAAAAGGGACAGACAGACACAAAGGTAGAAAAAAAGGTGAGGTGAATACTGTGGAATTATTCGAATATGAAATGTAATGGGGTCATGGCAGTTTGAAGTGAGCAGTCAACTGCCAGTTAATAGACCTTTTTGCCGTATGAGTATACGTTGCCCAAGGTGCACCACGTGGAGGTAAGTCTATCACACACCCCATGAGCTTAGACATTGACTCTGAGAGAGATCTCGAAAGGAAGAAAATGATCTCCCCCCCCCCATTTGAAATCAGTGACACCAAGCTGTTACAAAAATTGAACGGTTTAAATTCTCCCTACTTACCTTACCACTGTCAAAATACGGGAAAAACTGTTCGATCAACTGCGGGTACTCTCAAGGTCCAAAAAAAGTTCACTATCAATTAAGACTTAAGATTACGATTCATTTCATTTTATACATTTTACTTACCATATTTCAGCAAAAAATATTCTCGATTTCAAATTCGAAATTTCTTCAGAGTTACTCGTTTAATGTTAATTCTCTCCACTTATTACATTTCAGTAGGTGCAATCATAGTACCGTATTTGAGGAAGACATTACGAAGCTTATTCAGAGTAAAAGAAGACAAATCTGAATAGGGTCTATAAAAGCCATTTTTCATTTTTCAAATAAAAGACCTTTAGACTGCTCGAAACATTCAATAGGCCAAGCCTGATTGTTTAAAAGTCAAGGAAAAAACGCATAATAACCTCTTAACTTGTGTAGGCCATGAAATGTGAAATTTTTAACGAATTACCAAGAACGTAGTCCTTTTAACTGGCGTTCAATTAAACTTCCAAAATTTTTAGTGACTACGCTTTGTCCTTCCTTTCTGTAATTCAATGTAATATTTATACGAAAGGGCAAACGTTTTTGATAAGTATCACTAGCCCTTTAGCTGACTTCAGGCTTCACGGAGGGGAAGGAACATCAAAGTGAAAAAAGTCGAGAGGAGGGGGGGAAGGAACATCAAATTGAAAAAAGTCGAGAGGGGGGTGGAAGGAACATCAAAGTGAAAAAAGTCGAGAGGAGGGGGGGGGGACAGAAGAGTGTTCCAAAAATGTAAAAGAGAACAGACACAAAGATAGAGAGGAAGGTAAGGTGATTACTGTGGAAGTGGTCGAATATGGCATACAGTGGGGTGATGGTAGTTTGAAGTCAGAAGTCAACTGCCAGTTAATAGACTTTTTTGCCCAGGGTGCGCCACGTGGAGGTAAGTCTATCACACACCCCATTCAATGTAATATAGGACGATTTTATTTTCAGAACAATGCCATCGTTGCTAAGCAAACACTTAGCTCTAGGAGGCTGCGATAGTTTAGCTTAATAACTAATGCTCTACTGAAAATACTTTTTATCAACTACTGGTCTAGCGACGTACTCGGTGCTTCATTTACAAGACCGCTACCTTTTCTAATTACTGTGGGATATTTTTATTTGGGGTAAATCGATTTTTTTTTAACTTTATGTTCCTGTTAAAATTAGAGGGGTTGTAAGTGAGAGCAATAGAAAATATTCGCCAATCAAAATGGTGTGTTTATCCCGTTGCCTTATTGCATCAAATGTCACTCATATAAACCTTATCTAAACCTGAGCAATTGCAATAGACAAATTCCCACGTAGGAAATGTCTCCCAAAACTAGATAAGCAACCTCACCAATACCCGGGGAAATCGTGGCTATGGTGTAAATAGCATTTATTCTAGTTGTGTGACCCCGACACAGACCTTAGTCTTTAAGATGCAGTTTTAACTGCACTGATAAAGCAGACTTTGGGGTGCGCGATGGGCTTGCCTCCACGTGGTGCTTCCTGGGCAACGCATACTCATACGGCAAAAAGTCTATCAAACTGGCAGTTGACTTCTGACTTCAAACAGCCATGACCCGACTGTATGCTATATTTGACCACTCACAGAACCCACCTTACCTTTTTCACTCTACCTTTGTGTCTGACTGTCCTTTATATCTGTGAATCACTCTTCTGTCCCACCCCCTTCCTCTCGACTTTTTGCGACTTTGATGTTCATCCCCTCTGTGAAGTTCTAAGTCAACTAAAGGGCTATTGATTACTATCAAAAAAGTCTGCCATTTGAAATAAATAAATAAATAATGTAAACTTTCGTTAGTTGATTGGGTGAGAGATCTCTGCACTCACAACCGCACTTGCTCCTTAACGAATCAGCACCACGGCCACACGTTGCAGAGAGCTTGAGGACACTTTAGTTTTCTTTGTTCAGCCATATTAGCGTTTTCTCTCCTCAGCATAAAATATGATCCAAGTCCGCTCGGTTTTGCTAATACGACTAAAGGGTATCCTACAATAAGTTCGATTGTCTCTTCAAGTTCACGTAGGCTTTGCCAAGGTACCAAAAGAGAGACGTGAATAAGTCTTTGAAAAATTGACCGATTTCATAGAACACCCCATAAATCCGAAGTCTCGAGAATTATTTATGGTAGAAATAAAACGTTAGGCATATTTTTTGCGGTTCTCTAGCTATTAGCCACAAGCAAATTTCACTGCTGTGATCATTGCCATTTTTCCTCTTTAGAACTTTATTAGGTAAATGTTCACCAACTAAACAATTCAACTAAACAACAACTTATTATCATACGATATTGTACGAATGGTTCTGGACCTTGTTTTCGTGTGTAGTTTCGATTATCATTAGGCCTGACAAATCAGTCTAACGAATGAGGACAAAAAAGGGTAACTCATTCATTCAATTCGTATTTCCCGTATATGTACTCCATTCTTCATTCATATACGTGCTGAAGACAAA